TTCCGAAAAAAAAAGAAAAAAATTTAAAAGAAATGAAAGAAGAGGAAATGATCTAAAGATTAGGACGAAGAAAATTCCCGATCAAAAGGGAAAGGAAAATTTAGGTAGAAAAAAAAAGAAAGAAAGAAAAAAACCCTTGTGAAAGTAGTGGAAATTACTCTAAAGAAGAGGACGAAGAAACGGAGGATAAAAAGAGAAAGGAAAATGTCCTTAGAAAGAAAGAAAAGAAAGAAAAGAAAAAAGTAGAGTTTCGATTTTTTTCAAATCGAAAAAATAGTTCTAAAATAGAAAGTTCGAATTTAGGTATTTAAAGGAAATTATTGTTCCAAAGAAAGAAAGAAAGCCAGTTGAGAAAATCGATCCGAAGAAGAGGACGAAGAAAATAGAGGATAAAAGGGAAAAAAAAACAAATAAACAAACAAACGCAGAAATGAAAAAAAAAAAAAGGAAGAAAAAAGAGAAAAAAAAAAAAAAGAAAGAAAAAAAAAAAGAAAAAGAAATGAAAATGAAAGAAGAGGACGAAGAAAAAGAGGATAAAAAGGGAAGAAAAATTTAGAAAAAAGAAAACAAAAAAAAAGAAAAAGAAAGAAAGAAAATCGATAAAAAGATTAAAAAAATAGAATAAAAAAAAAAAGGAAAAAGGTAGAAAGAAAGAAAGAAAGAAAGAAAGAAAGAAAAAAAATAAAATCGAAAGAAAGAAGAAAGAAAATACAGGATAAAAAGGAAAAAATTTAAATAAAAGAAGAAAGAAAGAAAGAAAGAAAAATCTAAAGAAGAATGAATAAAAAAAACAAAAGAAAATTTAGGTAAAAAGAAAAGAAAAAGAAAGAAAAGAAAGAAGAAAGAAAGAAAGAAAAAAATCGATCTAAAGAAAGAAAAAAAAAGAAAAAAAAGGAAAGGAAAATTTAGGTAGAAAGAAAGAAAGAAAAGAAAGAAAAGAAAAAAGAAAGTAGAGGAAATCGATCTAAAGAAGAGGACGAAAAAATAGAGGATAAAAAGGAAAGGAAAATTTAGGTAGAAAGAAAGAAAGAAAGAAAGAAAGAAAGTAGAGGAAATCGATCTAAAGAAGAGGACGAAGAAAATAGAGGATAAAAAGGAAAGGAAAATTTAGGTAAAAAGAAAGAAAAAAAAAAAAAAAAGAAAGAAAGAAAGAAAAGAAAAAATGAAATCGATCTAAAGAAGAGGACGAAAAAATAGAGGATAAAAAGGAAATAAAATTTATTTGAAGAAAGAAAGAAAAAAAGAAAAGAAAGAAAGAAAGTTGGGGAAAATCTAAAGAAAGGACGAAAAAATAGAAAAAAAGGAAAGAAAATTTAAAAAAGAAAGAAAGAAAGAAAAAAGAAAGAAAGAAAGGAAAATCGATCTAAAGAAGAGGACGAAGAAAATAGAGGATAAAAATAAAGGAAAATTTGAAGAAAAAAAGAAAGAAAAAAGAAAGAAAGAAAGAAAGAAAGAAAGAAAGAAGAGGAAATCAAAAGAAAGAGGACGAAATAAAATAAAAAGAAAGGAAAAAGGTAGAAAGAAAGAAAGAAAGAAAAGAAAGTAGAGGAAATCGATCTAAAGAAGAGGACGAAAAAATAGAGGATAAAAAGGGAAAGGAAAATTTAGGTAGAAAGAAAGAAAGAAAGAAAGAAAGAAAGAAAGACAAAATCTAAAGAAGCGGACGAAAAAATAGAGGATAAAAAGGAAAGGAAAAGAAAAGAAAGAAAGAAAGAAAGAAAGAAAGAAAAAGAAAGAAAGTAGAGGAAATCGATCTAAAGAAGAGGACGAAGAAAATAGAGGATAAAAAGAAAGGAAAATTTAGGTAGAAAGAAACAAAAAAGAAAGAAAGAAAAATCGACAAAATAAAAAAAAAAGAAATAAAAAGCCTTTAAGTAGAAAGAAAGAAAGAAAGAAAGAAAGAAAGAAAAAAGTAGAGGAAATCGATCTAAAGAAAGGACGAAAAAATAGAGGATAAAAAGGAAAGGAAAAATTTAAAAAAAAAGAAAGAAAGAAAGAAAGAAAGAAGGAAATTGATCTAAAGAAGAGGAGGAAGAAAAATAAGGAAAAAAGGAAAGGAAAATTTAGGTATAAAGAAAGAAAGAAAGAAAGAAAGAAAGTAAAATCGATCTAAAGAAAAGAAAATAGGATAAAAAAGGAAAATTTAGGTAAAAGAAAGAAAGAAAGAAAGAAAAAAAGAAAGAAAGAAATCGATCTAAAGAAGAGGACGAAGAAAATAGAGGATAAAAAGGGAAAGGAAAATTTAGAAAAGAAACAAACAAACGCAGAAAGACAAAAATAAAAAAGAAAGAAAAAGAAAAAGAAAAAGAAAGAAAAGAAAGAAAAAAGAAAGAAAGAAAGAAAGAAAGAAAGAAAGTCGGGGAATTGATCTAAAGAAGAGGACGAAGAAAATAGAGGATAAAAAGGGAAAGGAAAATTTAGGTAGAAAGAAAAGAAAAAGAAAGAAAGAAAGAAAGAAAGAAAAAAAGAAAAAAAGAAGGAAATCGATCTAAAGAAGAGGACGAAGAAAATAGAGGATAAAAAAGGAAAGGAAAATTTAGGTGAAAGAAAGAAAGAAAAAAGAAAGAAAAGAAAGAAAGAAAGAAAAGAAAGAAAGGAGGAAATCGATCTAAAGAAGAGGACGAAGAAAATAGGGATAAAAAGGAAAAAGAAAATTTAGGTAGAAAAAAGAAAGAAAGAAAGAAAGAAAGAAAGAAAAGAAAGAAAGAGGAAATCGATCTAAAGAAAAGGACGAAGAAAAAATACAGGATAAAAGGGAAAGGAAAATTTAGGTAGAAAGAAAGAAAGAAAGAAAGAAAGAAAGGAAAGAAAAAAAGAGGACGAAGAAAATAGAAAATAAAAAAGGGAAAGGAAAATTTAGATCTAAAGAAAAGAAAAAGGAAAAGAAAGAAAGAAAAAAGAAAGAGGGAAATAAAAGGGAAAGAACGAAAATTTAGGATAAAAAAGGAAAGGAAAATTTAAAAAAAAAGAAAGAAAGAAAAAATAAAAAAAAAAAGAAAGAAAGTAGAGGAAATCGATCTAAAGAAAGAAAAAAAATAAGGAAAAAAAGAAAGGAAAAATTTAGGTAAAAGAAAAGAAAGAAAAAAGTAGAGGAAATCGATCTAAAGAAGAGGACGAAGAAAATAGAGGATAAAAAGGGAAACGAAAATTTAGGATAAAAAAGGAAAAGAAAGAAAAAATCGATCTAAAGTAAAGGACGAAGAAAAATACAGGAAAAAAAAAGAAAATTTAGGTAGAAAGAAAGAAAGAAAGAAAGAAAGTAGAGAAATAAAGAAAAAAGAGGACGAAGAAAATAGAGGATAAAAAGGAAAAGGAAAATTTAGGTAGAAAGAAAGAAAGAAAAAGAAAGAAAGAAAGAAAGAAAAGAAAGAAAGAAAGAAAGAAAGTAGAGGAAATCGATCTAAAGAAGAAACGAAGAAAATAGAGGATAAAAAGGAAAGGAAAATTTAGAAAAGAAACAAACAAAAGAAAGAAAGAAAAAAGAAAAAAAAATCGAGAAAGAAAGCCTGAAAATAGAGGATAAAAAGAAAGGAAAATTTAGGTAAAAGAAAGAAAGAAAGAAAGTAGAGAAATCGATCTAAAGAAGAGGACGAAGAAAATAGAGGATAAAAAGGGAAAGGAAAATTTAGGTAGAAAGAAAGAAAGAAAAAAGAAATAAAGAAAAAAAAGAAAGTAGAGGAAATCGATCTAAAGAAGAGGACGAAGAAAATAGAGGATAAAAAAGGGAAAGGAAAAAAAAGAAAGAAAGAAAGGAAAAAAAAGAAAGGGGAAATTGATCTAAAAGAAGAGGACGAAGAAAATAGAAATAAAAAGGAAAGAAAAATTTAGGTAGAAAGAAAGAAAGAAAAGAAAGAAAAGAAAGAAGAGGAAAATCGATCTAAAAGAAGAGGACGAAGAAAATAGAGGATAAAAAAGGAAAGGAAAATTTTAGTAGAAAGAAAAAAGAAACAAAGAAAGAAAGAAAAAATAAGTAAAAAATCTAAAGAAGAGGACGAAGAAAATACAGGATAAAAAGGGAAAGGAAAATTTAGGTAGAAAGAAAGAAAGAAAGAAAGAAAGTAGAGGAAATCGATCTAAAGAAGAGGACGAAGAAAATAGAGGATAAAAAGGGAAAGGAAAATTTAGGTAGAAAGAAAGAAAGAAAGAAAGAAAGAAAGAAAGAAAGTAGAGGAAATCGATCTAAAGAAGAGGACGAAGAAAATAGAGGATAAAAAGGGAAAGGAAAATTTAGGTAGAAAGAAAGAAAGAAAGAAAGAAAAAAGAAAGAAAGAAAGAAGAGGAAATCGATCTAAAGAAGAGGACGAATAAAATAGAGGATAAAAGAGAAAGGAAAATTTAGGTAAAAGAAAGAAAGAAAAAAGAAAAAAGAAAAGAAGGAAAATTCTAAAGAAGAGGACGAAGAAAATAGAGGATAAAAAAAAAGGAAAATTTAAATAGAAAGAAAGAAAAAAGAAAGAAAGAAAAGAAAAAGAAAGAAAAAAGAGGAAAATCGATCTAAAGAAGAGGACGAAAAAATAGAGGATAAAAAAGGAAAGGAAAATTTAGGTAGAAAGAAAGAAAGAAAGAAAGAAAAAAGAAAAGAAAGAAAGGAAATTGATCTAAAGAAGAGGACGAAGAAAATAGAGGATAAAAAGGGAAAGGAAAATTTAGGTAGAAAGAAAGAAAGAAAGAAAGAAAGAAAGAAAGTAGAGGAAATTGATCTAAAGAAGAGGACGAAGAAAATAGAGGATAAAAAGGAAAAGAAAAATTTAGGTATAAAAAAGAAAGAAAGAAAGAAAGAAAGAAAGTAGAGGGAAATCGATCTAAAGAAGAGGACGAAGAAAATAGAGGATAAAAAGGAAAGGAAAAATTTAGGTAGAAAGAAAGAAAGAAAGAAAGAAAGAAAGAAAGAAAGAAAGAAAGAAAGAAAGTAGAGGAAATCGAAAAAAGAAGAGGACGAAGAAAATACAGGATAAAAAAAGAAAAGAAAATTTAAGAAAGAAAAAAAGAAAAGAAAGAAAGGAAAGAAAATTGAAAATAAGAGGACGAAAAAATAGGAAAAAAGGGAAAGGAAAATTTAAGGTAAAGAAAAAGAAAGAAAGAAAGAAAGAAAGAAAGAAAGTTGAGGAAATTGATCTAAAGAAGAGGACGAAGAAAATAGGATAAAAAGGGAAAAAAATTTAGAAAGAAAAAACAAAACGAAAACAAAATAAAAAAGGTAGAAAGAAAGAAAGAAAGAAAGAAAGAAAAGAAAGAAAGAAAAGAAAGAAAGAAAGAAAGTGATCTAAATTGATCTAAAGAGGACGAAGAAAATAGAGGATAAAAAGGGAAAGGAAAATTTAGGTAGAAAGAAAGAAAGAAAGAAAAAAGAAAAAAAGAAAGAAAGAAAGAAAGTAAGAGAAGGAAAGAAAATAAAGAAAAGGGAAAGGACGAAGAAAAAAGAAAGGAAAGAAAAAAGAAAGCAAAAAGATCTAAAGAAAAGGACGAAGAAAATAGGATAGAAAGGAAAGGGAAAAATTTAGAAAGAAAGAAAGAAAGAAAGAAAGTAGAGGAAATCGATCTAAAGAAGAGGACGAAGAAAATAGAGGATAAAAAGGGAAAGGAAAATTTAGGTAGAAAGAAAGAAAGAAAGAAAGAAAGAAAGAAAGAAAGAAAGAAAGTAGAGGAAATCGATCTAAAGAAGAGGACGAAGAAAATAGAGGATAAAAAGGAAAGGAAAATTTAGGTAGAAAGAAAGAAAGAAAGAAAGAAAGAAAGAAAGAAATCGAAAGAAGAAGAGAAAGAAAATAGAGGATAAAAAGAAGAAAACGAAAAGAAAAAAGAAAGAAAAAAAGAAAAGATAGGAAAATTTAGAAGAGGACGAAGAAAATAAAAAAAGGAAAGGAAAATTTAGAAAGAAAGAAAGAAAGAAAGAAAGAAAGAAAGAAAGTAGGGGAAATTGATCTAAAAGAAGAGGACGAAAAAATAGAGGATAAAAAGGAAAGGAAAATTTAGGTAGAAAAAAGAAAAGAAAGAAAGAAAGAAAGAAAGAAAGAAAGAAAGAAAGAAAGTAGTGGAAATTGATCTAAAGAAGAGGACGAAGAAAATAGAGGATAAAAAGGGAAAGGAAAATTTAGGTAGAAAGAAAGAAAGAAAGAAAGAAAGAAAGAAAGAAAGAAAGAAAGAAAGTAGAGGAAATCGATCTAAAGAAGAGGACGAAGAAAATAGAGGATAAAAAGGGAAAGGAAAATTTAGGTAGAAAGAAAGAAAGAAAGAAAGAAAGAAAGAAAGAAAGAAAGAAAGAAAGAAAGAAAAGGAAATCGATCTAAAGAAGAGGACGAAGAAAATAGAGGATAAAAAGGGAAAGGAAAATTTAGGTAGAAAAAAGAAAGAAAGAAAGAAAGAAAAAAAGAAAGAGGAAATTGATCTAAAGAAGAGGACGAAGAAAATAGAGGATAAAAAGGGAAAGAAAAATTTAGGTAGAAAGAAAGAAAGAAAAGAAAGAAAAAAGAAAGAAAAAAAAGAAAGAAGAGGAAATCGATCTAAAGAAGAGGACGAAGAAAATAGAGGATAAAAAGAGAAAGGAAAATTTAGGTAGAAAGAAAGAAAGAAAGAAAGAAAGAAAGAAAGGAAAGAAAATAAGATAAAAAGGAAAGGAAAATTTAGGTCTAAAGAAGAGGAAAGAAAGAAAGAAAAAAGAGGAAAAAAGAAAAGGAAAATTTAGGTAGAAAATAGATGAAAAAAAGAAAGAAAATTTAGAAAAGAAAGAAAGAAAGAAAGAAAGAAAAAGAAAGAAAGGGGAAATTGAAAAGAAGAGGACGAAGAAAATAGAGGATAAAAAAAGGGAAAGGAAAATTTAGGTAGAAAGAAAGAAAGAAAGAAAGAAAGAAAGAAAGAAAGTAGAGGAAATCGATCTAAAGAAGAAAAGAAAATAGATCTAAAAAGAAAAGGAGAAAGAAATGAAGAAAGAAAAAACAAAGGACTAAATAAAAGAAAGAAAGGAAAGAAAGAAAAGAAAAAAGAAAGAAAGAAAGAAAGAAAGAAAGAAAGAAAGGAAATCGATCTAAAGAAGAGGACGAAGAAAATAGAGGATAAAAAAAGGGGAAATTTAGGTGAAAGAAAAAAAAAGAAAGAAAGAAAGAAAGAAAGAAAGAAAGAAAAAAAGAAAGAAAGAGGAAATCGATCTAAAGAAGAGGACGAAGAAAATAGAGGATAAAAAGGGAAAGGAAAATTTAGGTAGAAAGAAAGAAAGAAAAGAAAGAAAGAAAGAAAGAAAGAAAAATCGATCTAAAGAAGAGGACGAAGAAAATAGAGGATAAAAAGGGAAAGGAAAAATTGAAAGAAAAAGAAAAAGAAAAGAAAGAAAGAAAGAAAGAAAGGAAATCGATCTAAAAGAAGAGGACATATAGGAGGATAAAAAGGGAAAGGAAAATTTAGGGTAGAAAGAAAAAAGAAAGAAAGAAAGAAAGAAAAGAAAGAAAGAAAGAAAGTAGAGGAAATCGATCTAAAGAAGAGGAAGAAAAAAAAAAGGAGGATTTAAAAAGGAAAGGAAAATTTAGGTAGAAAGAAAAAGAAAGAAAAAAGAAAATAGAAAAAAAGAAAAGAAAGAAAGAAAAGAAAGAAAGAAAGAAAGAAAGAAAGTGGATCTAAAGAAGAGGACGAAGAAAATAGAGGATAAAAAAGGAAAGGAAAATTTAGGTAAAGAAAGAAAGAAAAAAGAAAGAAAGAAAGAAAAGAAAGAAAAGGAAAATCGATCTAAAGAAGAGGACGAAGAAAATAGAGGATAAAAAGGAAAGGAAAATTTAGGTAGAAAGAAAGAAAAGAAAGAAAGAAAGAAAGAAAGAAAGAAAGAAAAGAAAGGAAATCGATCTAAAGAAAGGACGAAGAAAATAGAGGATAAAAAGGAAAAAGGAAAAATTTAGGTAGAAAGAAAGAAAGAAAAGATCTAAAGAAGAGGACAGAAGAAAATAGAGGATAAAAAGGAAAGGAAAATTTAGGTGAAAGAAAGAAAGAAAGAAAGAAAGAAAAGAAAGAAAGAAAAAAGTAGAGGAAATCGATCTAAAGAAGAGGACGAAGAAAATAGAGGATAAAAGGGAAAGGAAAATTTAGGTAGAAAGAAAGAAAGAAAGAAAGAAAGAAAAGAAAGAAAGAGAGGAAATCGATCTAAAGAAGCGGACGAAGAAAATAGAGGATAAAAAGGAAAGGAAAATTTAGGTAGAAAAGAAACAAACGCAGAAAGAACAAAAGAAAAAAAAGTAGAAAAACCGATCTAAAAGAAAGAAAGAAAAATAGAAAGAAAAAGGAAAGGAAAATTTAGAAAGAAACAAACAAACAGAAAGAAAAATAAAAAAAAAAAGAAAACGAAGAAAAAAATAGATGATAAAAAAAGGAATGGAAAATTTAGAAGAAAGAAATGAAGAAAAAAAACAAAATTTAGAAAAAATGAAAGAAATAAAAAAAGAAAGAAAGAAAATAAATAAAAAGAAAGAAAGAAAGAAAGAAGAAAGAAATCGAAAGAAAGAAGAAAAAAGAAAAGAAAGAAAAAAGTAGAGGAAATCGATCTAAAGAAGAGGACGAAGAAAATAGAGGATAAAAAGGGAAAGGAAAATTTAGGTAGAAAGAAAGAAAGAAAGAAAGAAAGAAAGAAAGTAGAGGAAATCGATCTAAAGAAGAGGACGAAGAAAATAGAGGATAAAAAGGGAAAGGAAAATTTAGAAAGAAACAAACAAACGCAGAAAGACAAAATAAAAAAAGAAAGAAAGAAAGCCTGGTAGAAAGAAAGAAAGAAAGAAAGAAAGAAAGAAAGAAAGAAAGAAGAAAACCCCGAAAAATATAAAAGTGAAAATAAATGAAGAAAAGTAATAAAATAGAACCAGGAATTAAAAAAAAAAAAAAAAAAAAATGAACGAGAAAAAGAAAAGAAACAGGGAAGAAGTCGGAATGAGAAAAAGAAAAAAAAAAGAAAAAAGAGAACGATGAAAAAAAGAGAAGGAAAGTTAGTCAACTCGAGAATAAAAACGAAACGAAAGTAGAATTTTTTTTTAATCGGTGGTGGGGTAGGGTAATGGGCAGATTGTGGGGTGGTGACGAGATAGAAGAGACGAAGTAAAAAAAAAAAAAAAAAAAAAGTTTCGACCGAATAGTCGACCAGGGTGTGTCTCCGCTTCTTACCTTAAAATTACAAAAGAATTATTTGATGGGGACTGTCTCGTTCTCTCCACCCTCTACTTCTCCATCCGTCCGTTCTACATTCCTCTCCCCTAACTCTCACCGACTGACGCTCAATTCCGCCCTCCTTACTCTCTTCCTAAGGCGTAGTTTAACCAGCCCACACTATAAGCGATTCAAAATTAGTATGAGCCAATAATGCAATACGCCCTTCTCTCCCAGGTCGACCTTTTTCCACCTTTGTTTTCGACTTTCGACCTAATAATTTTTGCTTCCTAATACAGAAAGACATGTAAAATTACCGCTTCAAAAAATCATTGACATCCCTTTTGGATTCAGTTTTCTTATGCAGTCTTATCGACGAAAGGCAAATATTGTACGAACTTCTGAAATAAATATCCGAATCTTTCAGGTCAGAAATGTCATGAGGTGACTATTGTCCGAACGTCTGAGGTGACGTTTCCCTGAAGACCCTGCGTGAATATTATTCAAATTTCTGAGGCGAATATTGTACGGTCTACTATAGGGTGAATATTATCTGAACTACTGAGGTGACTATTGTCCGACTTGCTATAGAGTGACTATTATCTGAATTGCTGAGGTGAATATTGTCCGATGCGCTATTCGGTGGATATTATCTAAACTAGTGAGGTAACTATTGTCCGACCTGCTATAAGGTGAATATTATATGCACTACTGAAGTTAATACTGTCCAACCTGATGTCCGGGTGAAGGTTGTCTGAACTAATGAGGTGTCTATTGTCCGACCTGCTATAGGGTAAATGTTATCTAAACTACTGACGTGAGTATTGTCTGGACAGCTCCGGGTGAATATTATCTGATTTGCTGAAGTGAATATTGTCCGACCTGCCATAGGGTGAATATTATCTGAAATACTCACGTGAATACTGTTCGAACTGTTATAAGATGAATATTATCTGAACTAATGAGGTGAATATTGTCCGACCTGCTGTCGAGTAAATATTATCTGAACTGCAGAGGAAACTATTGCCCAACCTGGTATAGGGTGAATATTATCAGAACTACTTAGGCGAATACTGTCCGACTTGCTACAGGGTGAATATTATCTGAACTACTGAGGTGAATATTGTCCAAGATGCTATAAGTTCAATATTCTCAGAACAAGAGAAGTGAATATTGCCCGACCTGCAATAGGGTGAATACTATCTGAACAGTTGTGGTTAATACTGTCCGACCTGCTATAGGGCGAATATTATCTGAAGTATTGAGGTGAATACAGTCCGACCTGCTATAAAGTGAATATTATCTGAAGTATTGAGGTGAATACAGTCCGACCTGCTACAGTGTGAATATTATCTGAGGTGACTATTGTACGACATGCTATAATTTGAATATTCTCAGAACTACAGATGTGAATTTTGTCCGACATGCTATAAGTGGTATATTATCTGAAGTATTGTGGTTAATACTGTCTGACCTGCTGTAGGGTGAATATTATCTGAAGCATTGAGATGAATACTCACCGATCTGCTCTAGGGTGAATATTATCTGAACTACTGAGTTGCCTATTGTCCGACAGACTATATGGTGAATATTATTTGAATTACTGACGTGAATACTGTTCGACCTGTTATAGGATGAATATTATCGAATTATTGATGTTAATACTGCTCGAACTGCTATGGGTGCAACTGAGGCACATCCCGAGATGGGGGAGTTTACATATTTGAATGTGGGGGGTTGTGGCCCTGAGAAGGAAACTGTACAATAATAAATAATATTATTGTAATAATTTAAACTATTTATTTTTATTAATTTTTTTATGAAAGTCCCAGTAATGAAAGACCCCGTAAATGACGAGTTATACTGCTAGTTTTAACTAAAACATAGCATATGATTTCTCAATTCTTCTTGAAATAGTAATGATATTATTATAATTTAAAATACACATAAAAACGCACGCACACACAGACGCACCCCACACTCATATATATATATATATATATATATATATATATATATATATATATATATGTATGTATGTATGTGTGTGTATGTATATATATATATATATATATATATATATATACAGTGCTGTTCGATAAAAGTGACACGCCTGATATTTTTACTAAATGTTCTCTTCTCCGATGAAACGAAAGTTGAGCTAAATTCAAAGGATAAGTGATCTAAAATCCGAAGAAGAAGCTTTGAAAGCTCTTTGAATTTAGCAGTAAGTATTGTCAAGCACCCGTTCAGTATAATGTTCTGGGGATGCTTTTCTTTTCATGGAACTGGTTTCTTAAAACCTATTGAAAAGACCCTCAGGGGTGTGCAGTACAAGAGAATTTTAGAGTTTTGTCTGCTCCCTTCTGCTGAAAGGGTGCAAATCGACTCCACCAAGCTCATTTTTAGGCAGGATAATGCTCCCTGTGACAAATCAAAATTGATGAAGGAATACTTTGATGAGAAGCAGGTGAGTGTTATGACATGGCCGCCCCAATCTCCTGACCTCAACCATAAAGAAAACTTATGGAGCATGTTGCTCAACTGCTTTCTCAAGAGCCTGTACTTTATAATACTCCATAAGTTTTCTATGGGGTTTATTAAAAACATCTTTGTTAGAAGAGTTAGTGCTAATCCAATGGAAGAGGGTATGTGTTTGGTAACTGAAGGGGGATGGTTAGAATTTGGATGCACGTATATTGGGTTAGAATTAACCTTCATATATGGTTGGAAAGTGTTGTTAGCAAGGTCTAGGGTGATGACTAGAAAATCCACTTGTTTAACATTAGTTGTAACTATTGTCCTAAGACCTAAATCCTTAAATACCCTATGGATCATTTTCCTAATACAGTCTACCTTAATTTTAGTGGAGTTTTTAACAACTAATAAGCCATCATCTCTATACAATCCTACACTATCAGAATCTAGACGATCGAAGGCTCTTTAATTGTACAAAAGAAATAATCCAACCAGGTCAGAAGCCTCGCGGAATCCAAAGAACGCATTGAAATGTCAAAATTGTCGTTGCACTGTATTGAGCACTCTTTTAAGAATAGTAATTGTTGGTTATTGGAATTCATTCTGTATCCACTAATTATATAATTGTATATATATATATATATATATATATATATATATATATATATATATATATATATATATATATATATATATATATATATATATATATATATATAAAAGGGAAAAATCCTGTGTAAGCTTATGGATATTGGTAACTTTTTTTCTAAGAATTTGTTATATAAATAAAAAAGTTACCAATATCCAGAAGGAGACTTACACAGAACTTTCCTTTTTAATATATATATATATATATATATATATATATATATATATATATATGTGTGTGTGTGTGTGTGTGTGTGTGTGTGTGTGTGTGTGTGTGTGAGTGCGTTTGTGTGTGTTTGTATGTGTATTTTAAATTATAATAATGTCATTACTATTTTGAATTTAATGTAAATAAAAAAACTTTTCAGCTTGCCTCGATAAAGTCGAATTGATGAAACGCGTCTGCAATGAGTAAGAAACTTATTTTCCAATTGTCTTTTTTATCCATTTTGTCTTCAGAAATATTCTGAGAAATTTTAATATATATATATATATATATATATATATATATATATATATATATAAGATGTGCTATATTTATGGGATAAAGTGCTCAATATCAGAGATAGAGCATGTGTAAATATAAAAGTGAACATAGAAGACAACACTTTGATGCAACAGTCCGTTTCATGCTAGATGTAATCGTCAGGCCTGAGGATTGCATCTAGCATGAAACAGACTGTCATCTCTATGCGCTGACTTCTATGTTCACTTTTTTTTATATATATATATATATATATATATATATATAAATAAACAGACTGTCGCCCTAAGTGTTGACTTCTATGTTCGCTTTCATATCGTATATATATATATATATATATATATATATATATATATATAAAATGAATATAGAAGTCAACACTTACAGGCGACAGTCTGTTTCATGTTAAATGCAATCCTCCGGCCATGAGTGCTGTTATTTTTCTCGGCTGTTTATATATACGGGTCAGTGGTGCATTGTGGGTAATCTATTTTGGGGGTTAATTTACCGGAAGTCGTCTATTTTTTATTTATCTATTTGGGTTAAATTATTTTGCTTGTTTTTATTTATTTTTATTTTATTTTTTATTTTTATTTATTTATTTTTATTTATTTCTTATATTTATTTATTTAATCGGTGTTTTTATTAACGTAGTAAAAATTTGTTTATATCGCTTATTTAATAGTTTTGTTTTGGTTTGAGAACTTAATTAAAGCTATTAATTCGATTTTGGGGTTGATTGTTGTAGTTTATTGTAAGTATTATTTTGGCGGGAACAGTTTTTAATTTGTAATTGGATTAATTATCTTTATTTATTTTTTCTAACGTTTAGTTTATCGAGATTGGTTTATTTATTTATTTGGATGAATTTAGGTCAATTTATTTTACTTGTTATTATTTATTTGTCTATTTTCTCTTTTCGGTTTTCGATTTTTAAGTAACGTAGTATTTTTTTTTATCGTTGTATAACAGTTATAGCTAAAAAAATTTTCGTCCGATTTTTTGGTTTGATTTTTATTGTCTAATTAATATTTTGGTCATAATGGTTTGCTAATTTGTTTATTATTTATTTGGGTTCGTTAGGTTTTTTTTTTTTTTTATTATTATTCTGTTTCGTCTATTCTAACAGGTGTGATTTGGTAATTTTTTGGGTTAATTAATTTTGCTTATTTTATTGTTATTTTGTTTATTTATTTATTTATTTTTATTTTATTTTATTTTTTTCCGTTTTCGATTTTTAAGTAACGTAGTAAAAATTTGTTTTCATGTCTGCATTTTGAGATGAGCTCGGATCTTTGTTTTCATGTATATATATATATATATATATATATATATATATATATATATATACTGTTTAGAAAAACCTTAGGTATTTTGGCTTGTAAATGAACAAACCAATGCCCAAGGAAAAATAAGGGATAAAAAGAAGAAAGAACTAAGAACATGAAATTGAGGCGAAAACAATCGTCCAGAATCAAGCCAAAGAAAAAACCTCGAAAACGAGTAAAGGAACAATTACTACGTAAAGTGCTCAATACACTAAGTAGAGCAAACCTAAATATGAATCTAAATAGACAGGTAAAACCTAGGTAGGTTTACCTGGCTCTTTAGGTTCATAGTTACATACATACATACATACATACATATATACATATATATATATATATATATATATATATATAGTAGCAGTAGAGCCCGGCGTTACCCGAGGATGTAACAGTAAGAGATAGATCAAGTATCGACCATCATAAAGACTGAAAAATAAAATTGACAAAGATTATTGTTTAAGGTTGACGGACACGCATGTCTTAATTAGCTTTCTTTTGTTTTTTGGGTTTTTTTTACGAATTGGTCAAACCCAAACTCAAACAAAAACATTGTTTTCAATCGTTATGAGTCTACCGATTGAATAGAATTTTATTATAAACAATTGTCTTATAAATGGAATTTTTAAAGCATTCTGAATGTAAAAATAAAGAAAAAAGTGTCCAAGATAATAAGAAACACTACCTGCCAAAAAAAAAGTGAAATTTTGTTGAAATCGGTTGAAAAATGTCGGAAATCCGATCCCATATATAAACGAACACACACACACACAAACAAACTGGGTTTTATTATAAGTATAACTCGATATGAGTTGTCCCCCTTTCATTCTCGACAGCGATGCCTCTTAATCGTGTTTTCAAATTGATTTCGTGCAAAAACAATTGTGTTTTTCCAATTTTGGGCGCTATCAGAACCACCGCAAGGTAATTTTTCGTAGTCCTGTGAAGTTTTGA